GCTTAGTCAGAAGCAAGCAACTTTATTGGTAGTCAGTATCAGGTAGTCGACAAAATTACTCAGCTTTTAGCCATTATTTACAACTGTTAGTCAGCAAGCTGTATGTTCTACGAATAGCTTAGAAACTTCAACTTTTATTTTTATTAACTAATCATTCAAGCATTTGCGACTCAATAAAACAAATTTATACGTAATCACATTATGCTCGCCATAGCTGTGATATTTATTGACTAGGTTTTTTCTTAATTTCTTATCTATAAATCAAGTTACAAAAAAAGGATTGATGACTTACTTTTCCTTCAGAAGCCTATCAACCAACAATTTTATTTCATTATCTTGTTTCAAAGTAAACTAAACATTAAAATGAGCTTGATGAAACATTTTTTCAATAATATTTTGTCTGCTTATATTTTAAAACTCTTATCATAGAATAAAAACTATTATTGCTATTATTATTGTTATCATTACCATTGGTCCTATTTACAATGATTAACTTAACCTATATCAAAACTTCTCTATTTTTTTGTTAACTTATCTCTCTGACAAAGTTGAAGCAAAACCCAGAAGATGGAAGATATAATTATGCTATTTTAACGCCCAAGTAAATGTGTATACATGCGACGTCAGTGAAATCTCGACTGCTATACATAAGGTCCATTGACGGCATGCTTCTTTGACACCTAAAACATTTGACAAGGTAATACTTTTCAAATTCAACTGAAACTGAAACTTGTTCAACTAAAGTTAAATAAAGTTTGAATACAAATAAAAAATAATAACTATAAACAAATGACATTATTAAATGAAAGTTTTTTATAGACTGCTCATAAGTACAGCTTTTACAAAAAATTTTTTTAACAGGTACCCGTATACCCGCCCGTTCATTCAACGTGTACCTCAAATGGCATATTTACAAACATTAATATCTTTATAGTTATATATATATATATATATATATATATATATATATATATATATATATATATATATATATATATATATATATATATATATAATAATAAATCATAAAACAACGACTGCGTGAAAACAAACTTTTCTCTTTGAAATATTTTGTCCTATTTTTGCAGAGATCGTCGTCAGACGTAAAATATATAACAAAAATCAGTTACAAATATTATATAAAAAGGTCAAAGAAGTCATTAAAAAGAAGGTATAAATGATACATAACAACGTAAATATAAAAATTAGCAAATATTATTGTGCATGAGTTGTAAATAAAG